TTTAATTTGGTGTTTGTTTTATTATATTGAGTTACAAAAGTTCTTTATATATTCTGAATATAAGTCCTTTATTATACATGTTTACAAATATTTTCTCCCAGTCTTTTGCTTGTTTATTCAATTTAACATTTTTTTGCGAAGAGCAGAAGTTTTAAAATTTTGATGAAAGTTAGTTTAACTTTTTTCTTCTTCTATAGATTGTGATTTTTGTGTCTTATTTAAGAAATCTTTTTTTAATATATAGAAGCAGAGAGTAAAACAATGGCTACCATTGGGGGAAATGGGAAGATGTTGATCAAAAGGTACAAAGTTTAAGTTATGTAGGATGAAAAAGTTCTAGAGATCTAATGTACAGCATGGTGACCATAGTTAATAATACTTTATTGAATACTTGAAATTTTCTAGGAGATTAGTTCTTAGGTGCTCCCACTACAAAAAAAAAAAGGTAACTGTGTGAAGTGATGGATATGTCAATTAGCTTGACTGTAGTAATCATTTTACAATGTATATCTATATCAAAACATCATGTTTTATACCTTAAATATATACAATTTTTATGTAAAATTTTTTATTTTAGAAAGAGAAACCTTGCCCTGGCCAGTTTGGCTCCGTGGTTAGAGCATCGGCCCGTGGACCAGATAGAAAGAGAAATCTTGCCCTGGCCAGCTTGGCTCAGCGGTTGGAGCGTCAGCCTGCGGTCCGGAGAGACCCGGGTTCGGTTCCCGCTAAGGGCACGTGCTTCGGTTGCAGTTTGTCCCCGGCCCTGGTTGGTCGTGCGGATGGCAGCCACTCGATGTGTCCCTTCACATCGATGTTTCTCTCTCTCTCTCTCTTCCTCTCTCTCCCTCCCACTCTATCTGTACAAAAAAAATGGAAAAATATCCTCGGGTGAGGATAAAAAAAAAAAAAAGAAAGAGAAATCTTTGCCTAACCCAAGGTCACTAAGGTTTTCTCCTGTTTTCTTCTGGAAGTTTAATCATTTCAGCTCTTACATTTAGGTCTATGATCTACTTTGAGTTTTTATGTATGGGGCAAGATAAGGATTAAGGTTCATTTTGTTTGTTTTGCATATGGAAGACGATTTTTTCCCCCAGTATTATTTGTTACAGAGGCTACCTTATTCTGTCATGGCTGTATAATGTTTGATTGAATGGAGGCTCTTCAATGTGTTCAGTGTCATATTCACGAAGTAGGCTGTTTCAAATTTGAGGCTGTCATGAACGTCCTTGCGCCTACACCGCTGGGCAGTTGAGTGAGTGTTTCTGCAGAATTACTGAGTCAAGGGGCATGTGCATGGCATGTGCTGAGGGCTACCCCCGGGTTGTCCCTCTACATTCCCACCCACCAGGCCTGAGACGGAAGCCTTTGACTTTGATTGGATTTACTGGTGTAAACCTTTTACAAATCTACAATACTTTCCTTCTGGAAAAATCTAATAGCCTGTATTATTAGATTACGGAAGATCCAGAACCTTTCCAAGAGGGTTTGAAGAAAAGATGATCATTTCTGCCTTGGTCAGTTCGGATAACCTCATGAGAAACAGACTCATAAAATACATGGTACATGGAAAACGGACATTTACAAAAACACTGTTTAATCAGTATTGGGGGCTTAGAAATACCTCTGTGCTATGGCCTCCCCTAAGGATAGAGGTTCCTGGAGTAACTTGAATCAGCAGTGACTTGCCCCCTAGTGGCCTGAATGTAGACATTCCGGGCAGTGTCTGTAACATACCCTCCCTCTCTCACTGTACTCACCAAAGCCCTCCCTTGTACCAGCAGCTGCGTGTGCAAAGGCACAGGGGGCGCCGGGAAACACAGGTTGTTTAGTGTGGCTGGAGCACAGAGTTCTGCCACTTCTCCTGTTTCCTTTTCATCCCACAATGGCATGATTGGATCAACTTGAACTGACATTGTTGACTGTCCTGGGGCCATGGGGGCCAACAGAGCTATGGAACAGCCCCTCATCTTCAGGGACATTAAGTAGCAACACAAGGTGGTTTAGAAGCAGTTCAAGACCAATACCAGCAGGTGTCACAAGCAGGACAATATTGATATAATCTGTGCCAACTTCATGCTCAGGGGTGAAATCTGCATGTTGAGAGAAGGAGTAAATCACTCTGGCTACTCAGAGGAGGAATCTGAGCTGGATGGTGGAAGTCCAGATTCTGGCACCAAGTGACTCGCGAGTTATCTTCCTCCCAGGCAGACGACAGCCCACTCCTGGGGTTGTAGGATGCAAGTGTCAACAAGACCAAGCTGAGAATTTCCTGTTTGGGTTTAGGCAGCAATCACAGATCCTTCTATCAAACATTTGGGAAAGCTAAATGGGGTGCCTCTCTTTACGCGGTCTTGTTAATTTTGAATGTAAGCCAAGTATATTCTTTATGCTTTCAAAGGCTTTTCTTATAAATCCCGAGTCAGTTAGCCACTGCTGCATGACAAATCATCCTACAACCTGGGGGCTTCAGGGTACTGAAGGCAGAAACAACAGCCGGTTTATGTGCTCATGAACCTGTAATCTGTGCTGGGTTCATCTGGGCAGTTCTTCAGCTGGTCTCACCTGGGGTCACTTCTGTGACTGCCATCATCTGGAGACCTGAATGAGGCTAGATGATCCAAATTGGCCCCCTCTCATTCATGTCTGGTGCCTCATCTGAGATGGCCAGCTATCTGCAGGTTGGCTGTTTCCCCCCTTCCTCTGGCCTATCCAGTAGCCCAGACTTTTTTTGTGTAGCAGTTGGCTTCCAAGAAAAGGCAAAAGCAGAAGCTGCCAGGCCTGTTAAGAGCACAGTGTCACCTTGGCCACATTCTGGTAGTCAAAGCCAGTCACAGGCTGGTCCAGGTTCAGTGGGAGGGGACATGGACTCCGCCTCTTGCTGGGAAGAGTGACACATGCAGACAGGGGTGGGAGAGCTCTTTGCTGGCCATCTTTGCGTCCCCTCTCCCATGGCTTCCTGGGGTTCATTTTCTGCCATCTCTATACACAAATGTGATTCATTGCAAATGATTCATCACACGTTACCTTATCTAACCTTTCCAGCAAACCTTTAAAGGATCATGCCTCCATTTTATGATAGGAAGACTGAGGCTCAGAGATGTCAAACGATTTGTTCACTGTCACAGCAGAGCTGGAGTCAAGCCCAGCGGGTGCTGGAGCTGTGGAGTGTCACCTTACAGGATGCCTTCCCCCAGCTCCACCTGCCCCAGAGTGAGGGTCAGTACGGGAGCCCAGAACCCAGTAAATAGCGAACCCTTTCTGAATTAAGTCCCATGAGGCACTAGGAATTAAAGCAAAATGGACAACTCTGTGGATTGTTATTTAATTATTTTAGTAATCTAAGGATCTCTATTACAAGCTCTACAAACTCATAGGAGGTATTTATTTAAGGATGCAATACTTTTTATTTGAAGAATGTTGTCTAGCCAAAGATCAAGTCAATGAGGCTATTTTTCCAAATATGATTTTTTTTTTACATTAAATGTAATGGGGGTAATGTTGGTTAATAACATGATATAAGTTTCAGGTGTACAGTTCTATAATACATCATCTGTATATTGCACGATGTGCTCACCACCCAAAGTCTAGTCTGTATGTATATGTGTTTGTTCATCTGTTGCTTTCTGTTTTATATCCTATATATGAGTGAAATCATGTGGTTCTCGTCCTTTTCCATCTGACATATTTCATTTAACATGATACTCTCGAAATTTATCCATGTTGTCGCAAATTCAGTATTTCATCCTTTTTTATGGTTGAGTAGTATTCCATTGTATATGTGTACCACATCTTCTTTATCTAATCATTCACTGAAGGACCCTTAGGTAGTTTCCATATGTCTTGGCTACCAAGAATAATGCTGCAATGAACATATCTTTACAAATAAATGTTTTCAAATTTTAGGGGTAGATAACCTAATCTTAATTTTTTGAGGAACTCCTCATACTGTTTTCCACAGTGGCTGTAATTCCCATCAGCAGTGTATGAGGATTCCCTTTTCTCTAAATCCTCTCCAAAGCTTGTTGCTTGTCTTATTGGTAATAGTCACTCTAACAGTTGTGAGGTGGTCTCTTCTTGTGGTTTTGATTTGCATTTCCGTATAGTTAGTGAAGTTGAGCATCTTTTCATATGTCTGTTGGCCATTTGTTTGTCTTCTTGGGAAAAGTGTCTGTTCAGGTCCTCTGCTCATTTTTAATTAGTTTGGTTTTTTGATGTTGAGTTGTATGAGTTCTTTATAGTTTTAAAATATTAGCCCCTTATCAAGTTATTGTTTGCAAATATCTTCTCCCATTTAGTTGGTTGCCTTCCAATATAGATTGATAAATAATCATTCACTTTCCAATCCATTGACTGTTTTCATTTATTTTGCTTCACATGGCTTACAGTTTGCCACTTCTGGAGAGAGAATAAATATTTTTCATGGAGAAAACTGTTTTGGAAGAAATAATATCCCCTGTCCCCACTTTTTATTGGATGATTAAAGAAAAAAAAAACACCCAAGGTCAACTTTACACTTGTCACCCAGTGGGTAAAAATGTCACAGACTGACAGCAGAAGGATTTGTGTCCATGGAAACTCAGCGTGGATCAGAAGGGGCGATTCTGTGACGCCGCAGGACGCCCCACTCTGAGAGACAGATGCTGGTGTGTGATCAATTGGAAAATCTGTCTGCCCGGGAGGACTGCTTCCAGTGAGCATGGGGACTTGGCTGCCTTTCCCTCACCTCTTCAGTAGCCACTAACCCCAGTCTCCAAAAGACGAAATTCTGACATCTTAATTTTAATGTGGGCATTTGATCCAGTGCTTGAGATAAATATAACCCCGAGTAGTATGGAGAAGGTTTAATGGGAAATGGTTGGCATTCTTTCTTGGTAAAGGCACAAGGAAAGAAGAGAGGGAGAGGGAGCGGGAGAGGGAGGGAAGGAGAGGGGGGAAAGAGAGAGAGAGAGAGAGAGGAAGCAGCAGAGAGCAGCGGGGAAGACAAAAGCAGAGATAAGCAAGCCTCCGCTGGCAGGGAGAACTTGACACTCTCCAGACCCCAGCCAGCATGGTTGTCCTGAATCCAGTGACTTTGGGAATTTATCTGCAGCTTTTCTTCCGCTTTGTCGTGTCTCAGCCTACTTTCATCAACAGTGTCCTCCCAATTTCAGCAGGTAAATGATGATCACAGCTTTCCTCCCTTGCATCTGTTTGGGGCAGGGCGGGGAAGGAAGGTTCTTTTGCAACATGTCCTGATATTTTTCCCATTCTACGTTTGGTGGAGGGAGGCTGGAGGGGAGTTCACCACCCTAGCAGCTTTCTGTCACTCCGGCTGGTCTTGGAAGCCCCTCCCGTCCTTGTTCCAAATGGCCCCCACCTGGCTACTCAAAACCAGAGACCTTTGAAAAATTGTTTCTACCTCCCCCACTTTTCCCCTTTGGCTGCACGATTTTATTTTGGTTGGGAATTGTGGGGAGCTTAAAAGAGATGGAAAGAAGTGCAAGAGAGAGGGAAATGAGTCCCAGATGTTTCTATAAATACATCCCTGACCCCTTCTGAGGGGGACCTGACTCAAAGGGGATGATATGGGATGAGCATGCCCTGTCCCAGCTCCGGCAGTGTCAGCGGCTGCCAGGACCATCCCACCTAAAGGAAAGGGAGTCCTGTTGATTGTCTGGGGGCCCCCATGCAGCCTCGGGACTAGGTCTTCCACTGCTCCAGCCCTGTCTCTTTCCTGCTATCTTTGCTCCCTGGGTGGGCCTTCTCTTCAGCCTCAGACGAGGCAGCTGGGAGAAGGGCTTTCTGGGGAGAAGCGGAGGGGCTCCAGAGGGGTGGCCAGGCCTGGAGCTGGGTGTCTGCTGGGAGGTGAAGGAAGGGGCTTTCTCTGCCAGCTTGGCAACTTTTCTGCTGCCTTGTCTGACCCAGAGCAGGAAGTATTGCGTTACAGGCATGGCCTATGTAAGCCTTTCTGAGCAAACTCAAATATTTTCAGAGGGCTTGAGGAAGGCAGACAGACCCCGGGCTCTGCTACCTGTCCCCTCACAGCACACCCTCGGTTCACCCCAGTCACCCATGGTTCTCCCTAGCGATGGCAGTCCGTCATGTGCTCCAACATGAATCTCGTAAATACTTTAATCGAGATAGAAATTTTGCCCCCACTGCTTTTGCTAGAAACAGGCTCTCAGAGAAGGCAGGGCTCTGAATTCAGTCCCCAGCCCGTCCATTCATAAAAACAACTCATCAACATGACCTGCTGCCAGCGTTTGTGGGCCGGAGGGAAGGACGCAGAGAAGGGCGTGGGGCTAATTATAGAGTGTGAGGAACTGAAGGAGGGGGTTGTGGAGAGTTTGGGGGGAGGGGGAGGAGAGGTGAGTGGTTGTGCGGCCACAGGTGTGCCAACATGTTCCCCACAAATTCAAGCTGACAGCACCAAGCTGCTTCTGGGGGTGAGAGAGCCATTACTCCACTACACAAGGGGACGCTTGACAGGTGGGTCTAACCTTGTCTGGGCCGTAGGGTCCTTTAAGGATCTGCTGGAGGCTCGGGACTTGAGGAATCTCAATCCTCTGGCTCTGGCCCTGCCTCAGATGGGCTCTCTGACTCCTGGGAGATGGTTGGCTTTCGGCTGTAAGCACCATGTGGACAGGGACTGTGCCTGTCTTGTATATGATTATAATTTCCCCAGAGTCAGAATAGTGTCTGGCACGTAGCAGGGGCTCAGTAACCATTTGGTGCCTGGAAGAGTGAGTGAAGAAATACAATGTCTCATCTGCAGATGAAGGTATTGCCACCATTTTGTGTCTCTTAATTTAGATGGTGCCAAGATGGCTCGTGAGTTCTGAAAGGTAGAGAGCAAAGAACCTCTGGTTCTCGTTGAGCTCCTTGCCCTAGAGAGAGCCCTGGCATAGCTTAGACATCTCCTAAGTGAGACTGTGGATAGATTGTACCAGTTGGGGTAACCCCAGGAAAAAAAGAAACTCTAATGGTTCTTATGCAAATACTTGAATGAAGGGACTGGTTTCAGAGGGGGTGGGTGCGGTTAAGGGAATCAACAAGGAATGCTGAGAAATTAGCAACTGTGGGAACCGTTACCACCCCCGTGCTTGAGAAGGCTAGAGCAGGAAATGGGGCAGTGGATTCCAGGAAGATTTGGGATCTTGGAGAAGCGGGTCACTGAGCAGGAGCTTTAATCACAGAGGGACCTGAAGTGGGGAGAAAGTGGAGAAGAAATACCCTGACCTCTCTTTCCTCCAATCCAACCTTGCTGGCAGTGCCCGCCATTGGGCAAACCCAGCCTGAAGCCCGGCTGAGGAACCCTTGAAGCAGCCATGGGGGTCAGCTCTGGGTGCAGGTGGGAATGTAGACTGGCTAGCCCACGCACCCGCAAGCACTTCTTCATGAGTTGCCAGGTCCAGATCTGGCTGGGAATGTGTCTTTAGACATTAGGTAAAACGATAAGGTAGAGCTGAGGGAAATCACTAAGGTGTCAGCTCAACAGAGAAAAATATCTGCTTTTTCCTGTAGTCGCTTGGCTTTGTCCCCTTCATTTGGTCGCCAGGCTTCCTGATAGCACAGTTAGAAATAAACTTATGCCCTGAAACGGGAACTATCCCTTGAGACAGAAGAACTTTAATTCTTTGAAACTGTTTTCCAACGATTTGATGCGAAATATTCTGTATTCAAGCTTGTAGATTGTCACTCTTCTGAGGAAGACAAGCTCTGTGCTCGTAGGGACAAGGGCCGCCAGGAAGGTCTTCTCGTTTCACCCATGATACCCTAGCGAGTGCTACAGGGGACACAGAGAGAAGTGGGATGCCACCTGTGCTCTGGGGAACCCATGGTCACTTGCTGCTGAAACACAGGCAGCACACGCTACATTCCCCAGAGAGCGGCGTGATGGAGGTACAGCTCTCACAGGCACGCGGGCTGGTCCTTACCTTCCCTCTCTCCAGGAAGACGCATTCCAACAATGCCAGCCGCAGCACCAGCTACCTGCGTCAGATAGATGCTCATTGCCTGGCAACCTCCACTGCCGGCCCCAGAGGAGAACCAGGAAGAGAGCAAAAAAGCTTCGAAGAGGCCAGCGTTGATGACAGAAATCTGAGCATTTGCCATGCAGAAAACAAGCTCAGGCCTCTACTCCAAGCCTGGTCACTCTATTTTGGACACCATTCTAACAGGCTTAGATAGGTTTCTTGAAGGGTGGACAATTTGTCATAGCACAGATAGATTTCAGAGGCGGGCTGCTGCTTAAGATATAGACAAGGACCACAGCCAAACAAGACAGCTCATAAAACTGGCTACAAGAAAAATGGTAAAGAACCAGGGAATAGTTCTGAGGTCGAAAAAGAATAGTAGACTGGACTTATTTCTAGAGCCTCTGTTTTGTACGTAATCCCTGGGGGCCTCATTAGCTTATAGCACATTAACTGGCTTTCACTATGATGATTGTGAATGACCCAGAGAAGACTGAATTGTGTTCACTTTATTTTGCTTAAGAAGGCAGATAAGTGTCAGATATATTTTAGAATAATTTCTATTGGACGTGGCCCTAACATTTTAAATGTCAGGAAACCTAACTTTGGTATATTGTTTTAACCATTGTTTGTTGATTCACTATCCTCACGCTCAGTAGCTTAAACAACAATCACTCATTATTGAAGTTCACATGTTTGTGGGGCAACTAAGGGTCAGCTGATCTAGCTTAGGTTTGGCTGGCCCTAGCTGGGCTTGCTGTGGGTCAGTGGGTTGACTCAGCCCCAGTAGCCGCTCACAGTACAGTTCAGTAGCTGTACAATTTCTAGAATGTAGTGGCACAGACCCAAGGCCAGCAGTATTTATAGACGTGCAGACCTTCCACACACTTCAATTTATGCGATCTCACAGCACCCCTGGGATGATTGTGGCATCACTTTGACTTTTCCGATGAAGAAATGGTGGTTCAGAGAGGTTAAGTGACTTGCCCAAGACCACACAGCTGGTATGTGGGAAAGTTGGAGGCTGGAATACTGCCCTCTGACTAAGTTTGGCTTTTACTAATGTAGACCAAATCTGCTTATGGCCAGGGATAAATAATGATATTAGATGTTAAAATCCTGTAGGCTGCCCTGGCCAGTTTGGCTCAGCGGTTAAAGCATCGGCCTGCGGTCCTGAGAGACCCGGGTTCGGTTCCCACTAAGGGCATGTACCTCGGTTGCAGTTTGTCCCCGGCCCTGGTTGGTCGTGCGGGTGGCAGCCACTCGATGTGTCCCTTCACATCGATGTTTCTCTCTCTCTCTCTTTCTCTCTCTCCCTCCCGCTCTATCTGAACAAAAAATGGAAAAATGTCCTCGGGTGAGGATAAAAAAAAACTTAAAAAAAAAAAAAAATCCTGTAGGCTACCCTTCTTTCTTTTGAAAACTCAGCTCTAGATTATTTTTTTAATTCTTTGTTCCTTCTTTTAAATTTTTTTTTTCAGTTACAGTTGACATACAATATTATATTAGTTTCAGGTGTACACCATAGTAATTAGACATTTATATAGCTTATGAAATGATCACCCTGATAAGTCTAGTACCCATCTGATACCATACATAGTTATTACTCAATTCTTTATTCTTTATTCCCTCCTGCCTCCTCCTCAGGATATCAATATCCAAGCTCTTAGCAAAAGATTAAATTTGACTTTATACTAAAGTGTGTATGACTTGCCAGGATACTGATTTATTTTTCCTTTGAAGGTATTTGTATTTCTTTTTTTTATCCTCACCCGAGGACATTTTTGCATTTATCTTCAGACAGAATGGGAGGGAGAGAGGGAGGAAGAGAGAAAGAGCAACATCAATGTGAGAGAGACACATCAACTGGTTGCCTCCCACACAACCCCAACCAGGGCCGGGGACAAACTGCAACCGAGGTACGTGCCCTTAGCGGGAACTGAACCCAAGTCTCTCTGGTCTGCGGGCCGGCGCTCTAACTGCTGAGCCAAACTGGCCAGGGCAAGGTATTTGTATTTTTTTAAAATATGTTATTATTGATTTTTTTAGATTGATAGGACGGGAGAGAGGGATAGAAACATTGATGTGAGAGAGATACATGGATCGGCTGCCTCTCGCACGCCCCCCACTGGGGATGGAACGGGACCTCCTAGTCCTGCCAGGCGGAAGGTATTTGTATTTGAGCAGGGGTTAAAGTA